CTATTTATTATTAATAATTAATTATTATTTAATAATTTTATAATTTAATAAAATTGTTTAAGAATTAAATGTTTTCTCTCTTCGTATAAGATTAATAATTTGTTAACATTATCCTATCGCCAAAATGTAGGATGTGCATAATACGCACGTACATAAGAAACCACAAAATTAAATCAGCTGTGCAATAAAAATCAATATCACCTGACTTAAAAAAATCAATAACAGATGATAGATCGGTATGCGTGTAAGTGTAGTTACGGCGCGAGTTCTACGCAATATCGTTGGCAAACTTTGATCACTTATAACTTAAAATGCAACCTCAAAATTCTTGTAAGAGAATTTTTGACTTTATTTTTCCTCTAGAACACGCTAATAAAGTATTGTACGGAGGTTATGAGACACTCTGTATATAAATACGACAAAAGAATCGCTTGCAGTTATCGTCTCAAGCAAGCATTTGCAGTCGATACTTTCCGAAAGGGCAATCTACAAAACAAGAATTTGATTTATAAGGCATTGATTCATGCTGTGGATATGCATCGCGAAGCTATGAGGTATTTATAAAACGGTAATACGTGCAGGAAGTACGCGTAATGCTCTCTCTTTCTCTTTCTCGAAGATTTTCAGACTCATCGATATCAAAATTTAAAGTGATGTTCTCCTTTATGATAGTAGTCGGAGTGATCAGCGCGAGTCTCAATTTCTTTCGAGTAAGTCTTATCTCTTTTTTCTCGAGTGCACCTATAAATTTTATCATAAAATCAGTTATTCTCGAATTTTCCAATCACTGTCAAATTATCAGTAGGGTTGCACGAGATATCAAGACTAGTCTTGATATTGTCTTGTCTTGTCTCGAAATTCACAAGACAACATTAAGACAAGGTTTTTAATTAACACAATATCAAGAATAAGATTGTCAAGATTATTGGTTTGTAAAAAAAGTTTCTAAAATATATATATTTGTCTGTGTGTATGTATAAACTCGATGAGAAAAAAATCACTATATTATACAAACTTAAAAAATTTTATT